TAAAGTCCAGGGAAGGAGAGTAATAAAGCAGTAGAAGAAGCAAGATGACCAGACAACAATATAGAAATACTACAAATACCAAAAAAAAAAAAAAAAAAAAAAAAAAGAAAGAAAGAAAGAAAAGAAAAAAAATAATGATAGAAAACGTGAGTCCACTAAGGAATACCATAACTCTGAAGTATCAGGTACCTTAGAGCAGGAAATCTGTAATAAGACCGAAAAGGAATTCCATGTAAAAATCCTAAGCAAACTCAGTATAAGAAGATTTAAGAAGGCACAGTTAGACAACACAATGAACTGAGCAGTGCTATCCTGGATATGAAAGAGGAAATTTAAAAGGAGATAAACACTTTTAAAAATATTATGGAACAGAAGGAGTCATGTAATGAAATAAAAAACACAACTAAGAACTTAAGCTGTAGACCAGAAACAACAGAAGACAAATCTCTGATCTTGAAGACAGTCTCTTTGAAATAGTTGAGGTGTACAACAAAAGAGAAAAAAGAATTTTCAAAATGAAGAAAATCTAAGATAGCTAGCAGACCACCTTAAAGGCAAAAGAATCCAAATCATTGGTGCTCCTGAGGGGAGGAGACAGGAAAATGCACTGAGAATATATTCACTGAAATAATAGCAGAAAACTTCCCATGTATAGGGAGAGACATAGACCTTCAGATTCAGGAGGCTCAGAGTTCCCCAAATAAATTCAATCCAAAAAAGTTCTCTCTGAGATACATTATAGTCATATTAGCAAAATTCAAAGATGAAGAGAGAGTCTTAAAAACAGAAAGAGAAAAGCATCAGGTCACCTGCAAGGGAGTCCTCATCAGACTAAAAGCAGACTTCTCAACAGAAACTCTACAAGCCAGAAAAAAAATGGGATGGTATATTCAAAATACGAAAAGAAGGGGAAAAAAAAAAAAAAAAAAAAAAAAAAAAAAAAAAAAAAAAAAAAAAAAAAAAAAAAAAAAAAAAAAAAAAACAAGAAAAATTCCTACCAGTCAAGAATACTATGCCCAACAGGTATTCTTCAGAAATGCAGGAGAAATGTACTTCCAAGACAAGCAAAAACTGTGAGAGTTCACCACTGCATGACCAGCCCTACAAGAAATCCTCAAGGGAGTCCAAAATCTGGAATTAAAAATACAATATGCACAACCATGAATACACAAGAAAGAACAAATCTACTAGTAGAACAAAAGTACAAAAGAGAAAGAGAAAGAAACTGTATCTTGCCACTTCCTAAAACTAACACCAAAGACAAAAAGTAAAAGGAGGAGAAAGAAACAAAAGCTGTTTAAAACATACAAGTGAAACTCAATAAAATGTCAGGGGTAAGAACACCATTCAGTAACAAACATAAATATAAATGTCTTGAATTTCTCACTCAAAGACGCAAGCTGGCTGATTGGATTAAAAAGCTAGATCCAACAGTACGTTGTCTACAGGAGACTCACCTAACCTTTAAAGACATACATAGACGAAAATGGAAGAGATAGAAAAAAGATATACCTTGCAAATGGAAGGCAAAAACAACCAGGAGTAGCAAGTTTTATAACAGATAAAATGTGTATTAGACCAGAAGCTATAAATAGAGACAAGGGAGGCTACTATATAAAGATGAAGGGATCTATCCAGCAAGAAGCCATAACAATCATAAATATATATGCACCCATCTTTGGAATACCCAAAGATATAAAGCAAACACTATTAGACCTAATAAAAGAGATAGACCCAAATATGATAATAGTTAGTGACCTGAACACACCTCCATTACTATTGAAAAGATCATCTAGGCAAAAAAACAACAGAGAAACACAGGATTTTAATGAACATTTCATCAACAACCACAAAATATGCATTCTTCTCATCAGCACATGGAACGTTCCCCAGGATAGAAAGGACAAAAAACCATTTGACACATGTTAAGCGACAAACCAACTCTCAATGAATTTTTAAAAATTGAAATCTTTTCAAACCAAAATGGAATAAACTAGAAATCAGTAACAAGAAAAACACTGGAAACTGTACAAATACATGGATGATAAACAACATGCTCCTGAATGGCATATGGGTCAAGAAGAAATTAAGCATGAAATCAAAGTAATTCTTGAAAATAATGAAAACAATGACACATCAGAACAAAACCCATGGGATACTGCAAAAGCACTACTAAGAGGGAATTTTATTGCAGTATACACTTAAATCAAAAGAATAGAAAGATTTCAAAAAAAGCCTAATGATACACCTCAGAGAAGTAGAAAAAACAAGAACAGTCCAGTCCTGAAATTAGTAAACATAGGAATAACTAAGATCAGAACAGAACTAAATGAAATAGAAACACAAAAAAATGATGCAAAAGATTAATGAAACAAAAAGGTTTTTGGAAGATACACAAAAAAGACAAATCGATAACTAGGCAAACTGAAGAAAGGAGACAAAAGTCCCAAATTAAAAAAAATAAAATTAGAAACACAAAAAAATGATGCAAAAGATTAATGAAACAAAAAGGTTTTTGGAAGATACACAAAAAAGACAAATCGATAACTAGGCAAACTGAAGAAAGGAGACAAAAGTCCCAAATTAAAAAAAATAAAATAAAATAAAAATAAGAAATGAAAAAGGAGACATTACAACCAATAGTGCAGAAATACAAAGAATCATTAGAGACTATTAGAAGCAACTATATACCAACGTATTTGAAAACCTGAAGGAAACAGATAAATTTCCCGACTCTGACAAACCAACCAGGATTGAATCAAGAAGAAATAGAAAACCTGAATGGACCAATAAAAAGCAAAGAGATTGAAGCAATAATCAGCAGTCTCCCAACAAAGAAAAGCCCAGGACTGGATGGGTTTACTGCTGAATTCTACCAAACCTTTAAAGAGGAATTTATACCAATTCTCTTCAAACTTCTAAAAAAAATTGAAACAGAGGCCATTCTCTCAAACTCATAATATGAAGCCACTATCACCCTGACACAAAAACCAGACAAAGAGACAACCACAACAAAAAAGAATACTATAGGCCAATATGTTTGGTGAACATAGAGGCAAAAATTGCCAATAAAATATTAGAATGTAGAATACAGCAACACATCAGAAAAATTATTCATCACAATCAAGTGGGATTTACCTGAGAGATACAAGAATGATTCAACATACACAAGTCAATAAATGTGATATACCACATCAACAGAATCAAGGGATAAATTCATGTGATTGTCTCAAAAGACAAAGAAAAAACTTTTGACAAAATTTAACATTGCTTCATGATAAAGACTCTTAGCAAGTTAGGTATAGAAGGAAAATATCTCCACACAATAAAACCATAAATGACAAGCCCACTGCCAATATAATCCTGAACAGGATGTCCAAATTCACCACTCCTATTTAACATACTATTGGCTGTACTAGCAAGAGCAGTCAGGCAAGTGGAAGAAGCAAAGATCATCCACATTGGAAAAGACAAACTCAGATTGTCCCTCTTTGCAGATGACATGATCCTATATATAGAACACCCTAACGACTCTATGAAAAAGTCTTAGAATTGTGGGGCCGGCCCGGTGGCGCACTGGATAAATGCGCCGCTTGGGAAGCGCGGCGGCGCTCCCGCCCGAGGGTTCGGATCCCACATACAGACCGGTTCCCGCTCACTGGCTGAGC